ATACTGTCATTTTGTCAAATGTGAAAAAAAAAAACACTTGCACCCTGAGTGCAACAACAGCTCAATTCAACCAAATTGGACTTTCCATTGTTGTCTGCTTCCCTTGAATTGCGTTTTTGTTTTCTTCTGTTTGATAAATAAAAGCAAAACAAGCACGGCAGGTCGGTGAGACAACCCCAGTCAGTGTACCAGAATAATATCCAGGCCGCAGCAGGAGCAGAGGCCAGCGGCACTCACTCACTCTGCACTGCATCATGTCTGACCTTCAGCCTGCCAAGCACCCGCTCCCTCACGTTCACCCCCCGGGACCGACACCCAAAAATAGACTGTAGTCTGACACATGCAAACATATCACTACCAGCATGCATGCCCACTGTATGTACATGCGTTGTGTGCGCACACATACACACACACACACACACACACACACACACACAGACACTCACTTTACATCTCACTTTTCACCCTATCCCTTTATCACGCTATGTTTAGTCCCTGATGTGTTTCATTGCTCCGGGGTTGTCTTACTTTATCGCCTGATATACGTGAGTCATATTATCAAACACATTAGACTGAAGTGGGACAGCTGTGTCAACCAAAGCGACTTTTCATATACTTACAGAACTATATCGCTGCTACCCTGCTAATGCACTGCTAACAGGAAGAGTTTGGAAAGTGTTTGTAGGGCTTCTGCAGTAAAGAGTCCAGACAAGTTATCTAGTGGCTACTGCAATAGTTTTGGTTTGATGTGCTATATACTATAAATCTCTCACCCTAATACAATAGAGGTAAATGGAATTTCAATTGTGTTGCTCCAAGCTTTGAAAAATTCACTTTCCAGAAACAATATCCTTGTCACTCTGCACAATCCATACAAAACACTGGGGGCTGGGGTTTTCCTTGGAACAATTTCCCACTAAAGAACTAGTGGTCCGATTGAAATAGTCCCCATTAAATCTGTTGACAAGTGTGTGGATTATCTGCAATCGAAAACCAGCTACCAGAGGTAAGCTAAACACACTCCAATAAAGGTTCACAATAAGAGTTGGCTTTTGAAGATTTTACTGTTAGCAGTTGGAGAAACTGTGAGATACCATATCGTTAGACGAAAGATGTTGTAAAAAAAGAATCACTACACTGACAAGAAAACTGGATTTAAAAAAGTATAGACTGTCAGATTATGTATGATTAAGTATTGTCAGTGAAAGATCAACATCACGTCATTATAGCACAGTAATTAATCTCATAGAAATACACAGTCCACAAGAATTAAGTAGTAAAAAGAATAAAATACATAACAGTTAGCCCAACAGTAAATTAACAGGTGCTTAGAATTAACAACACATTAGCCTAACACAGCTAATAGCTAGCTCGGTTAGCAGTAAACACATTACAGAAAGAACTAAGCTAACAAATTACAAATCAACAATCACAAAACAACGAGGGGAGACGTGAAATAATGCCAAATTGGATCATGTAAAAATGTAATTTAGCTAGACAGCAAAGTTATGTTAACTGTAAGCAGTGACTGCTACTTCTAACTGCTGGTGACAGACCATACAGAAAGCAGCATCCATGCTCTTTTTTTGCTCTTTGATCAGACTGCTGCTGATTTAAATAAATCTTAGACACTGTGTGAGCAAACAGTTGACAATTTACACATCCAGAACACAGAGCAACATTAGCACTCACTTGGAGTCATGTTTATGGCCACCCCACAAATGCAAATCCAATATTTGCTTATGCCACTTTCAGCCCTGTTTCACTGTGTTCATCAGCTTGCGTCTAACTTGAATGACAGCAATCTGATGCTAGGCATGTAGTGTGCAGTGGGTTTATATAAGCTTTAGGAGGCCCTTGCTGCAGCTGGAAATTAGGTTGACGAGGGTCGTGAGAGTGGACCAAAACAGTAAAGTTTGGGGTCGTAAAACTAAAACTGAATGGAACTGCAGAGTCAACTCACAATCCTCTGAAGGTTGTCACTATGAGCAACCCCCATACATTTAATAATCTGACACATAAATATTGATTTAGTGCAGCTTTAAGCTGACATAATTCATTTAGTATCATCCTCTAACAATATATGGAAGCAACTTAAAGACATTTTGTTTGGTTTTCTGTTGCCTGTCAGATAAAAACATTTTGCTTGGTGTTGTATTAGGCTTGCAGCTGAGGCTTGCTTGATTGCAGTGGTTATGGATTGAGGAGAGTTCAGTCTGACAGCAGCAGGAGCAGCGATGAAAGCTTTGCTCTGTGCTGATTAGCTCTGATATACAGTGGGCACTATGAGGGACGACTCACAATGCCTGCTTACTTTGCCCACTCGTACCTCTGTGTCTAAGCCTCTCATTCCTTGTACACACTTGTTTTCTGTGGGGGCTGTAGACCATGAATCATATCAAAATTAGAAGACACACTGGCTGCAGCTGTGTTCACTCTATGGTGCCAATGTTAATTGTGTTCATATAATGAATGTAGTTGACCATGCCTCAGGCCACAGTGAGAACAGAGCTTCTAAGGAAGCTAATCAGAGGTACAGGCCTTTTCTGAGTCAAATCTGAAATGACTCAGATCAGATTCAGTGCAATTTGATATATTCAAATAATTAATAAACTACAATATATTTCAGATATGGTGGGGAATAGAATGATTAAGTCCTGGACTTATTTCTATCGTGGTGTTTACACAGACCACCAAACTTACTATATCAAAAAGGAGACAGGGATTCTATAAGACATGACATTAAGGAACATTAGAAGATAGGAACTAAAAAACTAGAACATTTAATCATATGTAAAATGATCGATACAATTTCTTTCAGGATGGGAAATAAAATTAAGGATATTATCAATCAAATGGTTTTTTTTTTTTAGATTAATGAATGTATATTTCATCAGCTAAATGGTCTGAGGCTCAGAGTGCGTCCAAACTTAGCATAAAAAGATCAATTGTACCACTAGCTTTAACCTAATTGTTACATTTTTCTGTAATAATGACACATGGCGAATAAAAAAACAATACCCATTTTATATTTTAATTGAGAGACCGATGATTTGAGCTCTATGAGAGATCATCCAAACCATTGAGTGCAGCGGCACCAGCCCCTCTTTTAATCATGAGAATTAATTTTAATTAGTAAATGAATAATAAACCCAATCATTTCAGCGGTGAGGTGGGCTGATCTGACACTGACCACAGCTGAACCTCCAAAAGAAACAGAAAGCACTTTTAAGACGTCCCTTCATTTTACCTAAAAGCTGGTCAGGGGAAAAAAATATTGCAGATAAAAGAGAAAAGTGTGCCACTAGGTTTTACTTTCTTTTCACTAATGCAGAAGAAAGGAAAAGGCTTTTACAGCTTGCTAAGAGCGTCTTATAAATATGAGGGCACATGTCTCTCTCTACCCCCCCCCCTCTAAAAGAGCACAGTGTGATTACAGAAAACAGCCCATCCTCCTCCATGCAGGCCTTTGAGAGCAGAAACAGAAGGTAATGTCGGTGCTGGAAGGGAGCCAAGAGCCCAAAGACACAAAAATGTAGGTTGCCATGTCCCTGTTCTTCACTGAGAGGATGTAGTCACTGAGCTTAGAGATGTCAGGTGTAGAGCGGATAGGAAAATGCAGAAATTTAGCCATTCCAGAATAAGTTAGACTGTGTAAGTGAGTGTAAGTGTGCAGAATCAAACAGCAAACTGCTACAAGCCAAAAACAACCTATAAAGTCCCCCGTTCGTGCTTTTGAAAATATCACAAGCAACCTGTTTTTTTTTTTCATACCTCATCTCTTCCTGTCTTCATTTTTGAAAGTTTAAATAAATGTCAAAAGTTCTATTTTTAGTGAGGCTCATTTAATTGAGCCATATGGTGAACAATCTATTGACACGCTCTGACTGAAGGGTGCGTGGGTGGCATTTCCACTTAAAAGCCGGAGTGTGAATTGTAATGAAGTAAGGAGGCAAAAAAAAAAACTAAAAGGGAGGGAAGGGGGCAGACTCCATCGCTAGGAGCAATGGGTGTACAAACAGCAACCTCACAAAGCAGGAGTGATTCATTTAAAAGGATTTTGTGCATGCGCCACATTTAGCCTCTGCTGAATTTACATACATAGAGAGGATAAATAAAGAACGCTTAGGAGGGAGACGGAGGGGTAATATTAAAAGAACGGAGGAAGGAGAAGAAAGTTAACGAGCAAGCGATCAAACAGACAGAGGAGAGAAGAATGTTATGAAGACGATGGGGTGGATACCTTTTAGAGACATGGATGGATAGACCTGACAGAGGATGATGCCAGCTGGAAGGATGGAGGGATGGTAGGGCAGCATAATTGGATTAGAGAGGCAGAAAATTAAAAGTATTTTCTTTGTATCCTCCTCCAGAAAACAGGATCCAGTGATCACAAATGTGTTTGCTCTGAGGAGCTGTGACAGAGAGACACTACACATCCTACAGAGGCTTTAATAGAAGATATACAGTATGTGTCTGCAGGGGCACAAATGTAACTGTCTGTGTGTACATGGGCTTTTGTATGAGGCCTGCTGCCACAGCTATAAAGCATGCGTGGGCATGGATAACACACTGCATCATGGCAGAATGAGTATGGCGATGAAAGGCTGACTGTGGCTCACGATTCTGTGCTAGTCATGTTGCAATCCGCGACCCTTCATTCATGTTCCTGGGGAAATATATAGCAGCATCGGGATGTGTGTGTGTGTGTGTGTGTGTGTGTGTGTGTGTGTGTGTGTGTGTGTGTGTATGTATGAGCAATCAGCAGTGCAGCTTGAGACTGTGATAGGACTTCGACAGAAAGGAGCAAAAGCTGTGGATGACATCATGCACTTGTTGCTGGGCTTTGAATCTCGGATGAGCTGACACATTCAGCCGGATGACTCAAATGTACGCAGCCTAGCGCACCAATTCACAAACACACACATGCACACCACACACACACACATACAGACACAGCATCCAAATTTGACCCAGAAAGTGAGTTTGCTCGTTCTCACCCTGTGTACGTCCTCTTCAAACACGGCTTCATGGACGCTGCATGCAAAGAGGGCTGTGGGGAGGTCGCTCAGATCCATCATCTCCTCCGCCATGCCATCCTGATCTGTCTCCCCAAACACCATGTCCTCTTCCTCCTCCTCGTCCTCCTCAGGGTCACTGCTGTAGGCCTCCGAGCCATTGCTCCACGCCTTGGAGCTCTCTCGCAGCATGCTAAAGCCTTTTTAGACAGGCAGGTTGGGTTCACCGAGGCTGGGAACTGGAGAAAGGGGAGGTTAAAAGATTGGAAGTTGGGAGACAAGGTGAATATACCGGCTGGATGTTTGAGTGAAAAAGCAGAAAGAGGATGAGGTGATAGTGAGACACTGGTGCATTAAGATTATTCATTGATTATTCTTTTCACTTTGGATGAACCTCCTGATTATTCTCTCGATTCACTGATTGTCTGTTTCCATAAAAAGTAAAAAAATAGTCAAACCCGAGGTGATGTTTTTTAATTGTTTGTTTTGTCCAACAAACAGAAAATCTAAGAGAATCTAATAATATTCTCATTTAAAATGCTGGAAGCAGTGGATCTTTCATAATTGCTTAAAAAAATGTTGCTGTGATAATTTAACAAGCTGGAAAAGAAAGCAACACGTGGGAAGAAAAAAAGACCCTGGTTGAAAAACACTGGTTATAAAAAAAGAGAAAGGGGTTATGCTGACCCCTAACGTGAAACTTCCAACAATATACTGGGGATAGAGTGCCACCTAGTGGGACATTTAACCGAATGAAGCTTACCACCCATATTTTAATCAAAATACCATCTGAAAATCCACCTGATCTCAGTTATAGGGAGACATTAGGTATGGATACTGATTATAAACCAAAAACTGCATCCTACTGTAATTTCATCTCTGTACAATGACGTGCAAATAGAGCACGCTGAATCAGTGACATCAACAACATCACACGTCTACAGTATAAATGGCCGTAGAGGCTCGTGACAACAATGTTTGCATCGCGTGTACATCAAGGAAACCCTTTGCGGAAAGAGCTCGTGCAAAATCTCATGACGGGCGTTTATCACAAAAAAGTAACAAATTATCTCGTGAGAACACTGTGTTTTACAAAGTAAAATCCCGTTTTAAGCTACAATTAAGAGATAATTCATACGAAAGTTAGCACTGAGTCATGGCTGCACGCGCACGGGTGAAGTTATTGTTTAAATTTTCCCTTTTTCGTCGGTTTTAATTTACTCACCTCACTACTGTCAGTGACAGCGGCACAAACGACCCATTGCAAGCGGACTAACAGCAGGTATTTACAGGTGACTTTGTTTAATCAAACAGACTGAAGCTGTTGTGTTTTTGAAGGCGGCTGTCAGATACGTCGGTGTTTGTTATTACTGGATTATTGGAGACTATTTGATGCAGCCTACTCCGGTGTCAGGACCCCGCAGGTGAGACCAATGAGATGCCGGCTGAGGCTCGCGGCGACCAATGAGGATGCAGCAAGGGGGAGGATGGGGGAGGATGCTCCGATTCAAGATTGGTGGCGACCGAGCAGCGAAGAGGCACATAGCGGTCTGCTGTAAAACTGGGCTTTTAATTTGACAAGGACGTCCCAGAGAGCCACACCGAACAGTCTGTTTACCAACCGACTCTCTTACCAAGCCCACTGTGTAAAGATAGTGAGGTGGTCGCATCTCTACAGGCTTTTACAGTAGGCAGATACAATTCTCTGGATCCACCTGTTGCACACACAAAAGGTACTTACATGAGTTTGTTGTTGAATTTTTGTTTACTTTTTTGCAATACTTCATTTTCAGGCAACATGAAGCAGTGAGGTTTTAAAAAGAAACCTAGGTAGGTCAGTACCCACCAAACTGCATACTGGATTACAGGGTTATAATGACTCCACAAACAATGCTAAATGAATTAAAGTGTTGTTTTATGGCCACAGATTAAAGAAAAATAGCTTAATCACCTCCATCCCTGAACCTTTATGGAGTGTATGGTGTGCAGTTCCTAAAGTAGACACAGACTGTACTCGAATACAGCACTATGGTAAATAAGTAGTTATGCAAGAAAAAGGCCAGGGCTTGTCTGGTGAGTGACAAGAGAAAACAAGGTTTGACTACCAAATCCCAACAACAAGCATGTGCCTCTGGCTCATCTTACACAGCGAGCGCTTGTTCAAACAATTCTGTGATGAAAAGATTACTGAAAAAATAACAATAACAATAACAAACATATAATCTTGTGCAAGCATCTCTGCACATTTCTTGCTAATTCTGATTAACCAAAAAAAGACACATGACTCCAAATACACCGAAACTAGGTAATGTTTACTTTATATGACACCAGATTGCATAAAATGTACAATGGAACAAGTTTGACTTTTACAACATCAGTGACTGTTTTAAAGGCTGTTCTGGTTCAGTTAGAAGGCAGTTTTAATAACAAGACAAGCTTCTGTGACGCTAATGTACTGAATACTGTGGAAAGGCTCTCTGCTTTATTAACACTGTAGAAATCCATTGCCACATATGCAGAGGTGGAGTGTATCCAATTTGCGCAGCCATTCATTCATTCATTATGGAGTAATAGCCGTTTCACTTATTGCTGCATTGTCTTTCAGCTTGTCAAATTTGACGCACATTCGAAAAACACTGTACCACAAAAAACATGTTAGCAACTCCACACTATTGGTTTCATCTTTCTTCATTTGTTTGTCATCAGAAACTTCAAGGCATTAAGTTAACAGGGCAACCAAAATAAACAGTATTTAAATTATTTTAGCCAAAAACAAAAAGGCTTTTTACAGTGGATTACACCTTTTTACATACATTACACATTTTGTACTCTAGTTGTACAATTTATCAATAATTTCAAGATGCAAGCGCGATTCACTTCCCTTCTATTTGAGTCATCTGAAGTGTTATCACCTTTCTTTTCAAAGATTACAGTTGCCTCTGTATAACTGAACTGCTACAGTGATCCTTCACTCACTAGGTGCATTATTTATCCAGTGTACAGCTACTTTATAAAAAGCACACTAAAAGAAACATTGAAAATTAATAAATACATTACAATAAATTAGAACAATTGCAAATGTTTGGTCATGTCAGGAAAAGAAGTAATACAATGAGATTCCAAGAGAATTGTGGAGTGAAACCCTCTCATATAAGACAGATATTAAAAGTCAAAATGTTCATTGGCAAGTCTTCAGAAAAGGTCTGCAGCTACATTATATAACATTGGTTTTGAGGAGTAACTCAATGGAAGAACAGATCACTGCATGTTCCCATTAACGAGCGAATGGGAACAAAACTGCTGGAAGTGAGTCCTTACATCTCAAAGCTAACAGGGTACAGGCAGTAAGCGTCAAGGCACAACACTATCTCTGCTGTCAGCTTCAGGTTTCTTTCATTTTTGGAATGAATACACTCGACATCTTTTCAAAAAAAAAAAGAAAAGAAAGAAGGAATGCTTCTCAAGGTTACATTTTGGTTTAGATGTGTCATAAAGGAAAGCATGTGGAGAGGAGTGTAAGGCAGAGTGAGAGAACATCTAAAACACCCAGTGGACATCCCCCGACTGGGCTGGAGGTTGGTCTTGTATATATGTGAGAAGAATTGAACATACCCAGTTTGGCCTTTCAAGGTCCTTGAAAAGTGTTGGGGAAAAGGGGGGGGACCAAAAAAAAAAACCCATTAGAAATACTCTGTTTTAATCTTTCTTTAAGTCAGGCAGGTCATGGGATGCATCAGTGGATCTAGAGCTGACTGGTGGCTGTTCCATGTTGACTGGTATAGTAGCAGGAGCCACTCCATCGTTGTTGACCAGGGCTCCATACGAGAAAGAACCATTGAAGTCTACCAGGCCTTTATCGTGGATTGTTGGGACACCTGACGATGGAAGGGTGTGGACAGGTAAGATATATTGTTCAAGTAAGCAACTGCAAGTTAAAATTACCTTGTTAAATAGCGTGTGTGTAATGGACTTTATATTTCGCGTTTAAAGACTGACCAGGCATTTTATCCATCTTGCCCTGTATAGCTTGAAATCGCAAAAGATACAATTTTCAGTATTTATGTAAAGTTTATACGAACCATTTGCCATATCCATAGTGACGTACGGCTCAAACGTCTTGGTCCTTTTCCTGTTTTTGGTGATGAGAAATACCCCCAGGAAACAGAATGCAGATCTGTACACAGAAGGAATCAGTAACAGGCTTCACTCAAAATAACGTTGCAAAGCTCAACTGCTTTTCACAATATTTCAATGTCAGTCATCACATATTCCCATAAAATGTCTGTTATCTATGTTATTTGTGTTTGGCTGTACAAATAATGTAAGAACAGACATTTAGACTTATACTAGGGAAAACGCAGCATGATACCCAATACCAGGACCCTGGAACTGATCAGCTAAATTAAATTAAAGTCTTCATTAATCGAATTATTGTGTGTGTGTGTGTGTGTGTGTGTGTGTGTGTGTTGTGCTTTTCCAACTGTGACATGTCAAAATGACTCACCCCAACAAAAACATGCAGATGTGAAGGATGTCTTCATTCTTAAACTCCAAGTAAAACACAGCTCCTGAAAACCAGAAAAAGAAGAAATCTTTGATGACTCTAAAGTTGTGTCTGCTGATCAGGCTCCAGAGCTCAACTCTTTGTTTCTTGTGTCAGCTAGTGATCTGTGTGCACTGGTCCGCCAGGTTCGGATTGAAAACAAAAACTCACCAGCTACCACGGCAAAGACGGTGGAGAGGATGTAGTTGACGCTGGCAATCAGACAGGAGTCATGCAGCTTACAAGCTTGAGACAGAAATCTAAGAAGACAATAACACAAAAAAGGGGAAACAATGATCACTGAGCAAACCTTATTGAAAGACCAGGACTGAATTCTGTTCACTTGTGGAGTAAAGAACAAAAACTTAAATAGCAAGCGGATGTCTATATCTTTGACATCACTGACAGTCAACTGCAGCCACCAGCTAACCACACTTTCCCCTCTGTTTACAATAAATACTTCATCTTTGATGTTACTCACTTGGCCTGGAAGACCACTGAAGCCACCATGCACACAAACATGACGCTGAAGATGGGGTAGTCAAGCTGCATGGCGCCCTCGATGGTGAGAACCAACATGCCTGAAACCGCCTTCACAGTAATGACAGTGACAGATCCTGCACCAAAGTCAAAAGCACAGTTAAATAGAGACCAAACAGCGTAGGTGCCTTTTGGACATTAAAAACATGGCAATGTATTCTAATAAACCACGGTAATAGCTTGACTTTACAGGCGGCATGAAATTGACTGGCTTTAATGCCCCGAGACTCACCCAGTAGAGAGACCAGCAGAAGAATAATAACGAGGTAGTTAGCACGGCGCTGTTTGTAGAAGTATAAAAGCAGGCAGAACGTGATGATCTCCAGGAGCTGTCAATAAGCGTAATAGCAACAATAAACGGAAAATTAATATTGAATCAACAAAACAAGCGCTGCAGTCATTGCCAAATTCAATAATAGCACAATCAATCTTAAAGCCAGAGACAAACATTTATGCTGAATAACAACACAGGTCAAGACAGCTGGGAAATGTGCTGTGTTCAATGTAAGTTTGTGGAGCAAATAATTAAAAACAACAAGAGAAACATGACATATAATCCAGCAGTAGACGCCAATTTAGTAAAGCTCATAATGTTTGGTTATGGCTGAGACTGACAGAGAATTTGATGGTCATTTTTATGGCTGCAGCTTGTCGTGTTGAAAAGGGAATATAAGTGTCACTCATGTTCTATTTGTAACCACTGTTCCTCTTTGCTGCTGCGATGTTTGGCATACCACTTTCTGTTATTATTTATGAGGACTTTTATCCCTAGCCACATTAAATAATGATGCAGTGTTTGTAACTGATGAGTCAGCAATTCAGGGAGTGACTATCTATCCTCTTCTCACCTCTGTAGAGGACGATGTCTTTAAATGTTATAAATATTTCTGAGACCTTGATTAAAGATGACACATACTGGTAATTGGTATTCCACCTAATATGACTTGCTTGTGCCGATCCCTTTGGAATGGTTTTAACTGTTGAATAGTCACCGCCTGAATTCCCGGTGTGTCAATTACAAGCTGCACCTGCAGGGTGAAAGGCCTAGATGCAAAACTCAGGCAAAGAGCTACAGCAGTCACAGATAGATCTTCACCAACACTGACATGATGGCAGCATATTTTCTTATCAGCCCTACAGCCACAAAAATGACCGCTGAGTTGATTTAACACCTATAGTAGAATCAGCAAAAAACAGAACATGGAGTCACAAAACCTGTACTGCAGGGCTGTGTTGCTTTTTGCTATTTAGCCATGTCACATGTGGCTGCTACACCTGAATCAATTGTTTCATATCTGTTTAGCAAGTGTGGAAAGTAAGCACATTAGATTTGAAAGCAGGGGTGAAATGAGACTGTGTATTGAGGCATATGCTTCTGTACTTCTTCAGTAAACAAAAATAGCTTACCAGATACAGGAGAACAGGCCATCCTACAATGTGCTTCACAATGTTCTCGGCTTTGAGTTTTTCATGAGAGTTTGGTCCGAATGCTACAAAGAGATATGTTCCTCCTATGGTTATGATACAGCCCAGGAAAGACAGCCCATAGCGCTCTGAAATAACATAGAGCATGAAATGACTCTCAGTTCCAGTGAAGTAGTAGTAAATGTGTTTGGACATTTTACATAACATGAAACAATAGAAAGACTATGCGATGTGCAAAGTAAAACTCAACATACAGTACAATTTCACTTTTATATGGTCTTACAAAATGTTCAACTAAACATGGCCTATACACAGACAGACTGTTTGACTGTAGCTGAGCAGGCAGTGTGTACAGCAATTTGACAAGAGCCTTGAGGCTGATTAAAAATTTTCATACAATGGAACAAGTCCCATGTTATTTGCATGCGACTGCCACTGCAACCACATCTTCGGTTACACACATGTGTATGCTGAACTTACTTGCAAAGTCCTTTGGCTTAGATTTCTCACGCAGAAAAATAAGGCCCAAAATTGAGCTTGCTGAAAACAAAAAGAGAAGCATTAGGCTGGTTCAATCAATGATTATACCAAATACTTATCTCCAAAGATCTACGTCTAACATATTAGTATATCAAATATTATTAATAGGGAACATGGAACAATTACTCACTAAGGACAGACACAGCATTAAGAGGTGCTACGAGAGCGAGGGGGGCGAAGGCGTAAGAAACAAAGTTGGCTCCCTCCCCAAGACAGGTCAGTACAAAACCACACCACCAGGTTTTAGTGCGGTAGAAGGCACGCGGGTCCTTGGTTCCTGCTAACGTCACATGACTGTATTTCTATGAGGGAGAGTTACACAGTTACTTGGGTAAACACAAAATCTACAACAGTACACTTCGCCTAAACCAAGCAAACATATTAAGCAGGCTTAAACCAATCAAACAAGGCAAAACGGTTTTAGAGTAGAGTTATTGTAAATTAGAAGTACAGAAAGGATGAGTAATAGGGCCACAGAAGAGGACACATACTGTGATGAGGTGATAACTGCATATAATTTCATTCATATAAGTTTCTGATAAAGGCTCATAGTAATAATGTAATGGCAGCGTAGCCTGAAGGGTTATTCTAACAAAGACACTGAAGCTATATTGACACAGAGAACTACATTACACACAGAAATTAGCAGAAACAAAACAATTTCATACAGAAGACTCATTTTTAAACTACTTTTTATTTTCAGGGTGGTTGGACACCAAAATAAGTCCATTTTAGGAAGCGTGTGTGGAGCTCTGTACCTGAACACTTAAGGAGATGCTGACAAGCACATTTCCAAAGATAGCAAGTAAAGTCCCGATGAGATTATCCTAAAGAAGAAAGACAGAAATATTTATTGAATTCGATTACGATAGATAAATGTATACAACGTGAAACATAGCTGTAGCTTAATACTTAGTCAATATATGATTTCCCTTCTGTATTTTCAGTCACATTATGTGTCACTGAGTCAAAGAGTTGGACATATTCGGGTTGTTTTGGTTTGCATTGTAGGCTAAAAGTTCACTCACAGAACTCTGATATGAGTATCTGCAATGTTTTGTGACAAGATACATCTTTAGACATTAAGAGACCCGAGAAGAAAACGTAAGTTAAAGTTTAAGCATTAACAGACGATTAAAAAGTAAAAGCTCAAAGTGTCTCACCGTGTAAGAGCTTCCGTCGGCTCCGCTGGTTTCCATCCTGCTCGCCTTCAGAGGCTGTTTATTTATTATAAGTAGTAGCCAGACATTCAAGTATAAGATATTTCATCTTGTCGCTGTGGCATTTAATATTTCTCACTTCTTTTTTTTCCGTTTTTGTCTGAAACTATGCTGTGGAAGACATTAGCTTTGTCAGGAGTATATCACTTCCGGATTGATTCTACCTTCTTCAGTCTGCGTCTTGACGTCACGCACGACAGTTACGCTTCAATCACGTGACCGTGGACAGTTTTTATTTTTATTTTATTATTTAATATTAATAACATGTACGATAACAATAACGGATAGCTCATGTTTGTTTTGTTCGTTTTATATTTTAAATAAACGAATTGACGTACAAAGTTACTCCCTTAATTTGTAATGGGTTTCCTATTGTTCGCTATATTCTTCAGTCTGCAATACCAATTAAAGACAGTAGGCTGCGCCATTGAGCTGGGATTGACCCAAGAGCGTTTACTGCTGAGGAGGAAGTTATTTATCAATTTAATTAGTACTCAAATGCCAGTAAATGTTTAGGTCTTATTTAGAACACTGATCTGATGTCATTAGCCAGACACCTTGAACATCCTTTATATCCATCACAACCCTACTATCTCTTCATGAATCGGGTGACTTCATATGAATAAAGGTTGTACCTCCTCACTCAAAAAAAAACAAAAAAACGAGTGATAATGACTATCTCACCATGGCATCATATTATAATCCTGACTAACACTGATGGCATGTTTTCTTCTCTCTTTGTGTCATTGCAGCAGTGAAGGAGGGACACAGTGTAGTACGTCAACAACAGTGTTTCAATAACAGGAGCTGTGGAACAAAACAAAGGCAGGTCAATGAAGGGTGTTAGCTGCTATTTTAAAAGACTACAGAGGGCTTTTTTTCAGATGTCAAAAGCAGCTTGAAATTATATGAACAACTGATGAGTCATTGATTCCACATGCAATATTGGCAAGAAATACGGCAAAGTGCAGCTAGTGAACACTAGTGAGCAGAAGCTTTTAATGCTAATTGGCAAGATTAAATATAAATTAAAGTTGGCAACTAAAAACATGTTTTGTTACTCTAGTCCAGTCTCAGTCCCCACTCATTTAAATTGCCAACCAGCAGAGGGGGTGAAACACCACAGATCAGCAAAATACCATCAGCTTATCCCACTGTGCTCAAATCCAACCCAAAACATTCATATTCTCCGTTGTCATTTGGTATTTGACATTTGGCATTCGATTTTGCTATTTGCCTGCAAAGATCTGACACTGTGAATACCTGAATGCATGCTTCATATGAAAGTATTAGTTGTCGTATGTAATTTTTTGGCAAAGTGAAAACCCTGTTTTTTCAGACTGGCATGTTAATAGTTTGTCTTGAGCAGCTCTTTGCTCAAAGCTGTGACCTGATGATTTCAGCTGTGGACGTTCAGATTGCATTTTTATCAGAAGAAACATTTAAATACACGTTGATTGGAAAAGGATGTATTCTCTGTCTTCTTCAGAGTCCAAAAAAAATCATAAGATTGTGATGAGATCCAGTGACAACTGTTGTTTCCTGTCATTAGAAGAGTTATCAGGACAACATGTACATGTTTTGCAAGTGGATTCCAGTTATGTTGTGCATGCATAATATACAGTATGTGGATCATTCATAAATGCATTATAGAGGCTGGTTTAATTTAAAAGCAACACACTTCTGTAGATTAAGACAAGGCAAGTTCATAGCACCTTTCAACAACAAAGCTATACAAAGTGCTGTATGTACGACATTACGTTACATTATAAAAGAAAAACTAGACAATATATGAAGACACACATCTATAGCAGAATACCAACAGCTACAGATCAAAATATGAGTAAATAGTCCCAAATTAATGAAATAAAAACAAATAGCAAAGTCTTAAAACAACAGATACACAGATCTCGAGCTTTCTGGGAGTTACAAATAAAAGCTTGATGCTGTTTCTCCAGTTTAGTTTTGGCACTGGGGACAGTACGCAGACCTGTCCCAGACTATCTAAGACGTCTGGACGTTTTAATGACAGAGCAGCCGATCAGAAATGTATTGTGGTCCTTTATAAACCAACAGCAGAAGTCTTCAGTGACACACATGGAGCAAGTGTATCATTAAAACATCATCTCCTTACAAACTACAAAGCCTTTTTTTGTCTGCCCCGCCTGTTACAGTCTGATATCTTTCATGACTTGTTGGAATGAGACTTGGCATTATGGCCTGCAGATATTTATCACACAGACACTGATTACAGCTCACTGACTTTTGGTTTGGGTGGGGGGTATAGATAGAGATGAACAGGTGCTTCTTCCTCAGGGTGTTAACAGGTGTGTGGAGGTATGCAGGTGAATGTCTTTTTTCACTGCATTACCTCATGAGGAACGAATAACGTTGTTCCAGGAGAATTCACCTTTTAATTAACGTCATTAAGTCATAAGTCGTAAGTGTCAAGAATATAATGATAGCAAAGAAAGAAAATACATCATTAATACCATGCATCAGGCTATAAATGTATAGTTTTTAGATTTTTTTGGTGCTTTGATTTTGGAGTTCAGTTTAGTTTTAACTTAATTTAGTTGATTCAGTGTAATTAATTAAGTTGTAATTTCGTTTTTTTATGGGGTTCAATTTAATTGTGGAGCTATCACAAACATAGATGCAATTGTGATGATAGATTAAATAAAAAATGGCAAATGCAGTAATGTGACAGATAAATCTATAAGGGTTAGGGTTATTTAAAAATATATAAACAAAAAAAGAAACTGTAACTTGAGGAAAAACAAAAGAAATTAAAAGAAAATATCTAAATACAGCATGTTGGAAATTCCAGTGAATTGATGCAACATTAGGATTTCACTCAGGCACACACAACACATAAAGCATCATCAGCACAAACTAATGTCACGGCAGTATAATTTTTATTGTTCATTATCAATAAAAACTTGTTTATGATGGATTTAATGTAATGCAAAGCAATTATTCTGCACTTTACATGACAATTAGAAACATCATCAAACTCATCTGAAAACCTCTGTCATGTTTTATAATATAGTTTGCAGACAAACATCATAGTAACATCAGGAAATTACATTTAATGTGCTTTTATGTAATTAAATATGCAAATGCTCCACAAAGCATAGTAATTATCTATTGACTATTTGACCATGACTATGACTATTTGTCATGCCTCGTGATACTATCAGTTAAATGTTAATAGATTTTTTTATTGTACGTTTTGTCATTAAGATCCTGCTGGGTCAGAAGTCCTGGCAAGTAAAGGTGTGTCCCTTCCGGTCATCCTGCATAGTGGACAGACCGGTTCGCTGCCACCTGTGAGTGAGAGTGTGTGTGTGTGTGTGTGTGTGTGTGTGTGTGTGTGTGTGTGTGTGTGTGTGTGTGTGTGTGTGTGTGTGTGTGTGTGTCTGAGAGAGAGAGAGTGTGTGACTGCTTTGAAGGCCCTGATGATGAATGAATGGATTAAGAGACTGATGTGTGGATGGTTGTGTGCATAAACCAGTGGGAGAAGCATATTCACCAATAAGATCTGACAACATGTTTTGCATTAATTGGGATGCAACTCACAATTGTTTTGATTATTTGATTGATTGTTATTATTGCTAATTTCTTTATTGATTAATTTATTTTCATTACTTGATAATATAATAATGAAATACGTCTTTTATAATTTCTCAGACCCCAAAGTCACATCTTGAAATCTTGAAGTCTTATTTTGTCTAACCAAAGGTCCAAAACCAAATAATGTATAATTTACAATTATATATAACAAAGAAAAGCAGCAAATGCTCATATTTAATTGACCAAGTAATTTATCAGCCGGTTATTTCAGTCCTGTTAATGATTGTTTTTTATAAGCAATGAATCTACCCACTATTTTCTAGTCAATTCATCATTTAGTCTCCAAATTGTCAGCTAATGCCCATCACAGTTTCCCAGATGCCCATGATGTCTTCTTCATGTGTAATTTGATCCAACAACACAAAGATTTACTTTGATAGACGACTAAGAAAACCGGATAGTATTCACATTTGTGGAGCTGCTACCAGTGAATGTTTTTGCTTAAAAAGTGATGTTAAGGATAAATCAATAATCAAAGTTGTAGCTGCTCAATTTTCTGTTGATCGACAGATCCTTGAATTGACTAATCATCTCATCTCTGCATCCAGTACAACCTACCTTCCCTGCAGGGCAGAGGTCAAACACAAAACAGTGTCGCAGGCCTTTTCTTTTTTTGTTTTGCTTCAGGTCACGAAGAAGTTTCCATTGAAATCTTTTGATTTTTGTTGAACTTTTACACCTCTGGCATCAGGTTGAAGTGCCCGTGTTTTCATGTCCTCTTAATTTACAAGAGATAAGGAGCTTTCTCAGCTAATGCAGCCTATAATTTACATTTCTCACCTTCATCTCCTTTTGTTGACCCACAAAACGGAGCGTTAATCTCTACACCCTAAAAGATGATATATTTTATAATTACTCTCTGTTGACTATCATCAAAATATCTTTGGTTTCTCAATCTTTCAACCAGTTACTTGCGATGCGTGGGCACTGTCCACCATCTCTAGAGGAATGTGCGAACGTTAGCGACAAGCATGGCTGTGTGTATTTAATAACTGCCAGGCCTGTTTTAAAAACCAAACAGACCAGCATCCATTGGTAATGACTGAAGAATGCGTGTACGTTAGATAGGAACAGGGAATGAAGGGGACTTATTCATTACTATATGGCACCATGCAACAGGAAGTCCTTATTGCCATGAAGTGATACTCAATCTTGTAAAGGAATGTTAACACGTTATAAAGTGGTGGTGGAAGAGCAGGCTTTTCCTAAATCCTCTGCAAGTCCAGGCTCGTCAGGAACATTTCTAGCAATGACTCCTAAGTGACAATGACAACACTAAAAATAAATGCTGGAGTGAACAATTGAGGCCAGCTTGTGACTGTGGGTGCAAGTCCGATTGTGTTAATAAATTAACTTACTATTGTGATTTTTGGGCATCCCTCCAGAGTGGTGGTTTCGATGACATTGTGTACGCTTTTAAGCATCAGCCAAACAGGATGAAGAGAGATGTGTGACAAAAGACATATGGAGAATTTGGTTTTAGTCACAATAATAACACGGATATGGCGGAGAGGTGAAAATGAATAACTAACAATGAGAAAAGGTTGA